AAGCTATGATACATCTTTGTACGATTATTAGATGCCAAGTTATTTAATATATTCTTTATATAACTGTGATTATAAACGGTTCTTTTTAATATAAGATTTTTGAGGATAGGTGTGATAGTGACTATAGATAGATTGTGACTATAACGGGAGTGACTATAGAGGGAGTTGACTGTACTTTGTAAATACTATGTATAATACACTTACATAATTTACGTTAAATGCAACAAATAATACAACAATTACATAAATTACTTTATATAAGTATGCAAAATTTCTGTACAAAAAGCTCATAATTTAATATGAAACTTATTTTTGTTACTTTTTTTTTAATAATTATCACAATTGTTCAAAGTGCAACTTTAAACAATTACCCAAATACTAACAACCATCTTGTTAGACGTCATGCTAGTCAAATTAAATACTCAAATTTACAAAATACTTCGTCATATATAGAAAAAAGTCCAGATAATTTAAGAGTATCGAGTGGGCTAAAACGTGACGCTTTACCGTATCGAGGAGGTGGTAGACAAAAACGTGAAGCAGCTGCGTATTGGGGAGGTGGCAGGCAAAAACGCAAGACATTACCATATCGCGGAGGTGGTGGACAAAAATGTGAAGCAGCCGCGTATTGGGAATGTAGCGGACAAAAACGCGAAGCATTACCGTATCGTGAAGAGCATAGCGAACATCTCTATTTTATCACAAATTTGCCGATCATTTGCCGATCATTTATTTGATCTTATTACATAATACATATGTCGTGACAGATCAATTTTACACAATGTCTCTTATACACATCTAGATGTGTATAAGAGACCGGTTTAATGGTTGCCTATTGAAGATGATAGGACACAGACCCGAGATTAGTCTCATAAGAGGCAATGGGTGGTCTGGCCGTAAACAATAGCAAAAGGAAAAGGATAAAACTGATGTTACCTGTCAAAAGTCCTCCATAAAAGTAGATGCTCTCTAAAGGTCGTTAAATAAATTAAGTATCAGTATCATGCAATGGGTATAGGATGAGTAGGCGACGTGTACCTAGCTTCAGATCAGCCTAAAATGGCCCGATGGGGGATGTCTTCTATAGTGGTGCTGTTACCTGAGGAATTAAGTACTCGGTATAATGGTTGCCCATTGAAGATGATAGGACACAGACCCGAGATTAGTCTCATAAGAGGCAATGGGTGGTCTGGCCGTAAATACTTGCAAAGGAAAAGGATAAAACTCTAGGGTCTGTCTCTTATACACATCTAGATGTGTATAAGAGACAGGAATTGAAGACACTATTTTACCACTTTCGGTGCAATCTTTGTACACAGATGGTTCGTTCCATCCTGCCAATGATTCTTCGCCTTCNCACATATTAATAATTTTGCATATAAAAATTAAAAATTATATAAATTATTTAATTTAAAGTTATACAACAATAAAAGGTGGCATATTTTATTTTTTTCTTATTTAGGCATTTACTTTGCCTTGCACTTTTTCATAATTTAATCATTTTTTAATAAAATGAAACTTGTGATCGGCAAATGATCGTCAAAGTGATATAAAGCATGTTTGCTATGCTATCGTGGAGGTGGTAGACAAAAACGTGAAGCAGCCGCGTATCGGGGAGGTGGCGGACAAAAACGTGAAGCATTACCGTATCGTGGAGGAGGTGGACAAAAACGTGAAGCAGCTGCGTATCAGGATGGTGTCAGACAAAAGCGCGAAGCATTAGTGAATCATTAAGGAGTTGTGTAATTTATCAATGAGTCGTAAAAGGTTAAGTAATAAAATCTAAAATAAAATTATTTTACAATTTAAAGTATTAATTATTAAAAATTGAAGCCAATATATAATATATATAATGTATTTTGTAAATTAAAATTAAATTAATCATTTCACATATACAGTTAGAAAAAATAAAACAATAAACCTTGATTTACAAAGCATTATCACTTTATTCAGAGTAGCTTGCGATAATGTTATTTGTGTATAATTTAAAGAAAATCTTGTTATTTCGTATTAGACAAATTTTTGAGCACCTAAATGTTAGCTTATTTGTTCGTATAGTACAATTTTTTGAACTTTAAAAATTTGTAATAATTGTAATTATCAGATTATATATTATTATTAAATTATGTAAAGTATAATAGAAATAATGTGATGCCGGTACTGAATTTTAAGGTTGAAATTTTGTTGGTGGCGTCTACGAGTTATGCCTATTTGATCTTTTTTTATTGCGATTATGAAGCTTAAGAAAAAAATGCTATTAAAAAAAATGATCCATAAAATAATATGTTAAATTACTTTATCTAGTTTGAGACAATTTAATTTTTATAAAAATTAATTCAATATAAAACTTTAAAGGTTTACAGGATTAAAATTAAATGAACAACATGAAATAAAAATACCAAGCGTGAAAATTTCGACAATTGATAACATATGCACATTTGACAACTTTTTATTATTATGAAAATTTAATCAATGCTTATTTTTTATATTTTGATTATTATGCTTGCTTTCACTATTAATATATTAATTATTTTGTTATTAATAAAATTGCCGCTTTTATCAAAATCCTTCTTGAATTTTTTAAATTTGATCATCGACATTAGTCTCTTTGAACAATTAATAGCATCATAATCTGTAAAAAACCATATTAATTAATAAATTCACTTCTTACTAGTAAATAGTAATTAGACTTTATACATATTTATTTGTTATATCGTATAGCTAAAAAATCACAGATATAAAATCAATTTTACTGGATTTATTATAGTTATGGTCACAGGTGTTGCGGTTAATTATATGCCGATACTCGCAACACTTTCATGACTTTTGTATATTTTGTTATGACAAATTATCAATTGATAAAGATAATCTTGAGAAACACATTATTGACAAAAATTGTGAACTTCATATGGAATCTGATTTTAGATTTGAATTCTATAATACCATTAAATCTTTGGAAAGATTTTTTGATAATCTGAAAACTACAATTAGTTTTAGCAAACTTGACCTAGAAGTGAGGCCAGATTTAAAAAATGAATACTTGAAATTAGAAAATGAATTTCTCGTTAATCATAAAAATTTTTTGAAATTAAATGATTACATCAACAAATTCGATAAAAGATCATTACCATTTACTTATCCGCGTCTCAAAAAAAAAAGAAATAAACGCTTGGACAATAATAATAAATTTATAAATTAGACAAATAAGATATTAATAATTAAAACACTTGATACTTATTATAAAGCAATAGTAATACGTATCAATAAATAAATTTTAAGAGAGCATCAGATTATTTAATAGTATTGACTTATTAATTAC